TCACAGCACAATAACAGAACACAGTGTATTAATATAGTACAGCATTTACACCAATAACAAGCAACCAACAGTGTAGCATAATATTTGGTTGTTGACAAGGGGCCTATATTTATTAAAACCAATTAACAAAGAATATATATTTTTTATATTTGTTGCTTCAGAAATAATACAGAAATAAGTATGTGTATATTTTTTAGTACTAAGTTTTATTCCGCTATTATTATTAGTAGTAGACAATTTTCTTACCATACTCTATATATAAATCCTCTGTAAAGGCAGGATGTGATCATGAGTTCCCGTTTTAATTTAAATCGACACACTCGAGGATCATTTCAAGTTCATTTTGTTTCAGATTATTAATGAATGAGCCTATTTCAACCTATTTTGACCAGGTGTGAATATGAGAGTGAGTTGGGACATTCTGGTCTGAATGCTTCTCAGCTTCTTCATAGATGGAAGGGGTTTGAAGTAGTTGTGGGAAGGATGAGAGGAGTCCTTCCTAATGGAGGTTGCTTTCTTCACACACCTTGTGAAATGAAAATCCACAACAGCAGTAAGTTTGGCTCCAGTGATACATTGTGCCGTCTTCACTACCCTCTGCAGGGCGTTCCTGTCAGATGCTGAGCAGTTTCCATAGCAGATGGTGATACAGCTGGTTAGTAACTCTCAATATTGCAGAGGTTTTCAAACCCTGGGTCATGACCCTCAGGTTTGTTTTATGTTGAGCATGAGTAAGCCAAAGTCAAAAAGTACCAGTTATGATTGTTTCACAAGAAAAAGAGGCCCTTATACCGAGACCCCTTCAAATGAAGCAGCAGAAAACCGTCCAACTCTGGCGCAAACAGCAGAGATCCACAGAAAAGATAGTGAAGGTGATGCATGCAAACATTGTAGCAATACTTCTTGTTCAGCAAAGAAAAAGCAGAAATCTGGAGTAAGACCATATGTGACCCTGGACCACAAAACCAGTCATAAGAGTCCATTTTTTTGAAATTGAGATTTATACATCATCTGAAAGCTGAATAAATAAGCTGCATGTTTGCATCATGATGCATGGTTTGTTAGGATAGGACAATATTTGGCTGAGATACAACTAGGCTATTTGAAAGTCTGAAATCTGAGGGTCCAAAAAAACCTAAATGCTGAGAAAATCACCTTTAAAGTTGTCCAAATTAAGTTCTTAATAATGTATATTACTAATCAAAAATTAAGTTTTGATATATTTATGGTAGGAAATTTACATCATATCTTCATGGAATATGATCTTTACTTAATATCCTAATGATTTTTTAAATAAAAGAAAAATCAGCCATTTTAACCCAAACTGTACAGTCTATTATTGGCTATTGCTACAAATATACCAGTGCTACTTATGAAAAATCATATAAAGATGATTTTTTTGAAGTTTGGGTTCATCAACTGTTTGGATGCAGGCCATACTGCCATACTAATGTGCGTAATATGCATTGAAAAGTTGGCAAATGAAAGTTGGAAAGACATTTAAGTACACATATAATTTTAGAATTTCAATTCTCTTGTAATTTTAATCAAACGCAAACAGAATAATTACATTTCACCATATTAAATTGAGGTAATAAAGATTTGAAATGTATAGTGATAATTCTCGATATCGACTGATATGAAAACTTTTATCGTGATCATGTTTTTTGGCCATATCGCCCAGCACTTAAGTACACATATGCCGATTTTGCTGAACTTTTTTTTTCAGAGGAAGGCTCAAGAAATTCAGTCATCAGCTCAGGTACTCAGCAGGAGCATATCAATCACAAATTACACTCGGCATATAATAAAGTGCCATATCATGTTGCCAAAGAAAAACGGCACATACAGTTGCAGAGAGATTAATATTGCCTGCTGTACTATATATAGCTAATATACATTGTGCAAAACAAGCATTTCATTGATACTACCTTTTATATCTACCTATATGTATGAAACTAGATTCTCAATTTTAACAAAAAATTGATGAAAGAAATCAGTTGAATGCTTCTCCGGACATGTGTGTTGCCCTGTCGTCTTACGAACCAGCTTAGGACCAGATTATGCAGAATGTACGTATACGTGACTTAATTGTATATACATTTTCAAATGGTGCATGGTTGAATAATATTGGTCTTGTCAATTTAAAAAGGAAAAAAAGGGTCGCTCTTAAAAAGGTTTGAAAGCCACTGCGTCACACTATAAATTCAGCTCCTAATAACAAGAAACAAGAATCAGTCTTTGCCATTTCCAAAAAGAGGAATGAAATGGGGGTCTGGCTTTATAGTTTTTTTTTGTTTGTTTTTTTTTACAAAAGATTATATATTGTTGCATAAGTATTTCTACACTTTTTTCAATTATCAACTAATCATATCTCACAGAATCTGTTGCCTAACCTGTTATCACATGAATTTCCCATATTTCATAACACACCCCAAAAAATAGCAACTTTTGGACACTATCTAATAATAATCTAGTTCCTTTTTCTCTAGAGTTTAACCAAAGGGTTTTTATACTTTTTTAAATATTTTGCATTTTTGACTGCATTTGTTATTTGTCAAAAGTATAAATGGCAAATGAGGCTGCATACACCTGTGCACACACACACATCCCTGATATCGATTTAGACATATTTTAGACATAACTTTGCACTTTTGTTTTCTCTAAAAGAGTTTCAAATGTGATTATGTAAATACTGTACATCTGTAGTAAAGTCTTTCAGTTTGCTTAACTGAAGGGGGTTTGTTGCAAAGACACACTTGCAGTCTAAACTGGGCTTTGCTTAGTATATTGCTCAACTATCAAAATGTAAAAAAAAAAAAAAATGCTATCAGCCAAAGCAGGGGGCTGGACTGCACTGACAAAACTCTTTCAGGTACTTCAAGCTTTTTCAGCAATAGAGTCAGAGAGAGACAGACACACACAAGACCTAGTCTTATAAGCAAGACCGTGAAAAGGAGGCTTTCAAATGAAAAAAGTCACAATATTTACCATTTTTTTCTAGATGAAGTGATCTGTAACTATTAGCCTTGAAGATAGTACCGAAGACAGTTGGAGACAGTCATCGTTTGAAGAGTCTCAGGAACTTTCTTGTATGAAATTGCTCCGGATCAAAACATAAGCTGTTTTCTTTCTTTATTTTTCTATTTGCGAGTCTTTGACTATGAGGCACATGTATCTGCTGAGTCTGGGTGAGTCACATTTCAGTTCCTTTTTAGGATTAAATGTAGGAACAGATGTTTGTAGGAAGAAACTCAAACTGTTCAAAAAAGCGAAACAGTAAATGGGAATGAGAGGAAACAGCCACAAGAATATCTGAGAGAGAAAAAAAAGTGAAAGTCAGGTTTGGATGAGGGTGAGTAAATGATTACAGAATGTCTTTTTTGGGTAACGTATAACTAGCTTTATTATGTTCGATCAATCAAATATTATTGGCAGGGACTCCCACATATGTTTAGACCCTGGGAAAATGGACAGTCCATGCAGTATGTAATAAATGCATAGTTATTAAATAACACGTCGTTGTTCCCTCTAATGACAGGTGAATTATGCAAATGTCATGAACAATGAGCGTGAAGTGAATTGGCTGAATAGAATTGTTCCTTTCTTTGATAATTCTTTCCATTTTGTCTTTGTTATTCCTAATAAAAAAGTGGCATTTTAGCCATTATGGGGAATAAATCAAATGAATTTTGGCTGCATGTTTTAAGATTAAGATTAATATGATTAGGATGGGCCAAAACATGGCTCAACTCACACATAATAGCAAAATAGTGGTGGATTTACAATCATCTCCTCTTATGTTATATAAAAAATAGGGAATGATAGTTTTCTGATTTATGACTTGCGAATGTAGTGTCAAAGATAATATCTTGAAATAACCACATTTGTGTGAAGAACATAATACCATTTTCAGAAGATGCTAGAATTATCTGTACTGTAGAAACGGCATCAACTGATCATCCATATGCATGTACGTTTTAGTGTTTCTGTATCCCAAGTTAGATCCTCTTAGTCGGCCTTTGGAAGTGTGGAGAACATTGTTTTCGGTAAACTCTCTGTAAACTGATTAACTTCACCTTTGACTCCTCATCTTCTTTCAGCATACTGGTCTCTGTTTGGGTCAAGCTGTGCTCCCCAACAATAGCACCATCATTTCAAACACAATTTAAATACAGTGACGTCCAGTAGTCTGAGACCACTATTGAAAATGCTTCTATTTTTTTAACTTACAAACATTTTTATTACATTACTACTTGAAATCTGAAAAGTCAGACTTAATAGGTCTTTCTGAATGTCTTTGTTTTGACCTTTCATAATTCCTAAAACTATCTGCATATTTGCAGGTTTGCATAAAAAAAATCCCATATTATCAATGTGGTCTCAGACTCACTATATGTGCATCAAACTACACCAAAAACACTAAACCTGCAGTAACAGACTCTTTATTTTCTGCTTATAGTTCTTCTGTTAGCACTGACAGAGAACATCCTGATGCAAACACCCTGCGTACTTGGATATGTAAAGCGCAAGGGAAAGTGTGTAGGTATGATTAAAAAAGCTAACATATATGATACTCTGATGTCAGGGCTTAACAGGATTTTACTTGGGTTGTGCATGCCAACATTTATACAAGATTCACACACACACACACAAATAATAATCAAGTTTTGTTGATATTGTTCTATATTATTGAATAGGAAATTCTACTACAGATATATAGGACACATTCATGAAACAGCACTTATTAATGAATTTTAAATAAAAATCAGGAAAAGGTGCTATGGTTATTCAAACTTTCTCTGTCATTGTTATAGAGGACAATGAGTGTGTGCCTCAACCATCCATTTGTGGAGAAAATGCAAGATGCATCAACACTGTTGGCAGCTACTACTGTCAATGTCATGAAGGATTCACAACTCTTTCAACTCATAATTTCACACAAGCGGATTCAATTTCATGCAAAGGTAAAGAGAGCTTGATATGATGAATCTCACATGATCTCTGTGCAGCAGAGAAAACATCTGAATCCCTGTTCATCTCATTTCAGACATCAATGAATGTGTGGTTGGCAGCGCTGATTGTGGTCCTAATACAATATGTGTCAATTCTGAAGGAGGTTATAAATGCACATGTGCAACTGGCTACATTTCCAGCAATTCAGGACAAGGAGTTCAGTGTATTGGTAAGAAACTATTAGACCTTACACATTTATTGGCCACCTATGACCCAGATTTGACATTGGACAGTGTTAGGATTAAACAATTAAGGCCTTCTTTTATTAACTTTTTTCATGAGAAGTTTTTAGTTACTAAATATCTCTTGAATTTCATGCTTTTCATGTACTTTTCATGCTCATTCAAAGCACAAACCGCTGTGTATTAGTGGTGGGGATTTTTCAGTGACTTGCTGCAGTTTACATTAATAGGCTAGTAGGTGGCGACAAGTAACTATAATGAGTGAGTCACTGAATCATTCAATCAATGATTCATTCAAAACCATCAATTCAATCAGGAACAACATGCCACAACTGTGAGCTTCTCAGAGGCACCATGGCTTTGGTTAAAACAATTTCTGTCAACAGAGCAACAAATAACTGACAATACTGTGTAAATGTAAGTTATTCAACATAAACTCAGATGGCAATTTCAAACAAGCGAACTCGAATAAATGCAAAGGTAAAGAGAGCTTGATATGATGAATCTCACATGATCTCTGTGCAGCAGAGAAAACATCTGAATCCCTGTTCATCTCATTTCAGACATCAATGAATGTGTGGATGGCTTTATACAAGATTCACACACACACACAAATAATAATCAAGTTTTGTTGATATTGTTCTATATTATTGAATAGGAAATTCTACTACAGATATATAGGACACATTCATGAAACAGCACTTATTAATGAATTTTAAATAAAAATCAGGAAAAGGTGCTATGGTTATTCAAACTTTCTCTGTCATTGTTATAGAGGACAATGAGTGTGTGCCTCAACCATCCATTTGTGGAGAAAATGCAAGATGCATCAACACTGTTGGCAGCTACTACTGTCAATGTCATGAAGGATTCACAACTCTTTCAACTCATAATTTCACACAAGCGGATTCAATTTCATGCAAAGGTAAAGAGAGCTTGATATGATGAATCTCACATGATCTCTGTGCAGCAGAGAAAACATCTGAATCCCTGTTCATCTCATTTCAGACATCGATGAATGTGTGGTTGGCAGCGCTGATTGTGGTCCTAATACAAAATGTGTCAATTCTGAAGGAGGTTATAAATGCACATGTGCAACTGGCTACATTTCCAGCAATTCAGGACAAGGAGTTCAGTGTATTGGTAAGAAACTTTCACCCAAATTGAAAATTCAATTTTCACCCAAAAATTCTGTCATAATTTACCCACCCAAGTTGTTTAAAATCTGTATGAGTTTATTTCTTCTTTTTAACATAAAAGATGATATACTGAAGAATGTTGGTAACTAGCCTAAGACATGTTAGCAATATGTTAAAAGATGCTAGCAATGTGCTAAATCATGCTAAAACATGGTAACAATGTGTTAAATCATGTTAGCGACATGCTACAAATGCTAGAAACATGGCAGCAAAGTGTTCAAACATGTTAGTTATGTATTAAAACATGTTAGGAACAAGCTAATTCATGCTAGAAACATGCCAGTAACATGCTATGATGATATGATGAATCTCACATGATCTCTGTGCAGCAGAGAAAACATCTGAATCTCTGTTCATCTCATTTCAGACATCAATGAATGTGTGGATGGCAGCCCTGATTGTGGTCCTAATACAAAATGTGTCAATTCTGAAGGAGGTTATAATTGCACGTGTGCAACTGGCTACATTTCCAGCAATGGAAAAGAAATATTTAATGCAGGACAAGGAGTTCAGTGTATTGGTATCAAACAATTTTATCCTACGTATTTTTTGGCCATCTGTTTGCTTGCAGTCTAATGTTAGAGTTTTCAGTTGAGAGTTTTGTTTATTATCTGTCCCTAAATTACAGACAGAGATGAATGCAATGATCCCAGTTTTTGTGGAAACCATGCATCATGTCATAACACTGCTGGAGGTTTCTACTGCATCTGTGATGCTGGATTCAGACTAAAGTCAGGAGAAACTAACTTCACTGATACAAGTGAACTCTGCGAGAGTAGGTCCTTTCAAACCTTTCAAGTTCACATTTTGACACATTGAAGTTTCGGTTTATTTTTGAGACATCTAATATCCTTCTCCAAAATGCTGTTTTGATGTTGTTGAAGGTGTATGTGACATTGATAAATCTATATGTGGAGGAGGAGTCTGCAAAAACAGCAAAGACGGTCATGAATGTTTGTGCAGCTTAGGATTCACCAACTATGGTCACAAACAAATGAAATGCACAGGTTAGAGTTCTCTGTTCAAAGTTTATTTTGGTTCCTAAATATCTCTTATATTTCATGCTTTCCCATAATTCATAACGCAAAACAGTTGCCTTAGTTTTAACATGAGCACAAAACAGCTATGGAACATTGTATTGACCTAAATGTGCTCCAGCCCAAAACATTATATGCAGTGTGAGTGCAGGACAGCAAGGGAGCGGGAAGAGGGGATAATCGCGCTCGGGTTTGGTACAGCGCAATCGTGCCTAGTGAGAGTATGCACTTAAAGAGCTATTTCTACCTGTTCAAACCCCTAAAACATGTTTTGTTGGTATAAATGGATGTAGTTATGTTGATTCAGTGATATTATGTAAGGTTACTATTTTTTTCAGTGTAATATTATTGATTCTTGTTTAATGAGCTGTTGTGCAACACTTGCTGCTGATCTGAATATCAGATGTGATCACCTAATCACAGCCATACTTTTTTTCATGTGATATTGATATTATGTTAGTTTTGTTTTTCAGAGCTTAAGTGTGACAGATTATTAAGTGAGAGCAAAGCATCTCAGGTATGTGACTTTTACTAGACCACTGATACAGAATATGAATATTACAGTCATTCATAATTAACCAGAATGCTGATTTCTCTTTTCTGTAGGCATCACCAAAGCTCACAAAACTCACCTCTTTGATGAACAACAGCTGTCAGGTACTGAGTCAGAGCGAGTCTGTCCGGAATAATACACAAGTGGATGGAGAGAAACTTTTGGAGGTGACACTCTTTAAATCAGTTTTTATGGCAAAAATAAAACAGTTTTTAAAAAATGCTATTTGTAATAATGTCAAAAGTTTTACTTTATTATGTTGGCTTTAGAAAGCCCATTTATTATTATTAGTTGTTGTTGTTATAATTATTAGACTACATTTTTTATTTTAAAATTCCCAGAGCTTTCAAGCTACACTCTTAAAAATAAAGGTGCTTAAAAGGTTCTTCAAGCGATGCCACAGAAGAACCATTTTTGGTTCCACAAAGAACCATTTAGTCAAAAGGTTCTTTAAAGAACCATCTCTTTCTTCCCTTTTTATAATCTGAAGAACCTTCTTTCGCCTCAAAGAACCTTTTGTGAAACAGAAAGGTTCTTCAGAAGTTAAAGGTTCTTTATGGAACCATTTAGACAAAAAGGTTTTTCCATGGCATCGTGAAGCACCTTTATTTTTAAGAATGTATAACCACTAAATTCATGACAGACCTTCACACTGTTCTGACATAGTGTGCTATATCTGTTATCTATCGATCACTAGCAAAGCCTAAAAATACAGAGCCCTTAAAGGGACATGGTGGTGGGAAAAAATTCAGGGTGAGTAGAAAAAATTCCGGGCGGGAGGAAAAAATATTTTTGAAATGTTTTGCATTCACTCGCAACATTTTGGCGTTCCCTCAAGATACTTTGCATTCCCTCGCAAAACTTTTGTGTTCTCTCGCAAAGATATTTGCGTTCTCTATTGTCAATGGTTAAATATTAGGGGGGAAAACCATTTTATAGAGACATCAGTAGTATTGGTATCAGTGATACTGGCCTTCAGTCATAAAAAAGATGCCATAAAATAAATATTAAAAATATACTGTCTTTATGTTGTTTGTACATTAATTTGAAGATTTAATGTGAAATTATTGCAATATAAAATTATATTTAAAACGTTAATGTTAGGTGGGATTAATCGCGATTAATCTCAGAAGAAATGTGTGATTAATCAGTTAATTTTTTTAATCGATTGACAGCACTAGTGGTAAAGTGTCTTGCAGACATTCACAGAGTTCAAATGTGTGCTTTAAACATCATCTTGATCCACAAATCTCTCTCATTTCACCCACCACAATACAGGCATTGCTGTGTGATCAAGATGATCTGCTTCATGGTGGCTTCAATGGTGATAATGATATAGTCTCAGCATTTCTTAGGATTGTGGTAATCATACTAAAACTGATCGGACATCTGCTGTCAGCAAGCCGAACCAGGAAAATATGCGCTAAAGCTGGTAAGAAATACGTCACTAAACATTACACTTCAGTACCACTAGTACCATCTTCAGTAACATCTGCTTCAATGAATCTGTTTTACATTTGTAATGTGGTTTTTGCCTTCCAGATGTGGAGCTGTTAGTAAAGAGGGGCAATTCTCCACCTGAGGGTCATTTCATGATGAATACTAGTGGAGCACAATTGACCTCCCACTGGGACACAGCAACAGGAAATACATACCTCGGTACACATTCTTATAAATACAACATAAAAAAGTGATCATGTTTTTTTTATTGTGTCAGTATAAAACGATTTTTACTGTCTTTGTGCATCAACCAGGCTTTACGACTGCAGCTCTCCTCAGCTACAAAGGTCTGGAGGAATCACTCAACTGCTGTTTTAACCATTTAGAGACACAGCAAAAGCAAACTTTCAAGATCAATTCAAAAGTAGTAACTGCCACTTTTAGTAACTATGAGACAACCAACCTAAAGAAACCAATAAAGCTCACGTTTTCTCACTTGACGGTATGGAACAATTTGCTCTCAATGTACCACATATAATGTGTTACACCAATATGATATACTATCAACTAACGATTCTACACGTACATTTCCCTCCAGAAAAAGAATGAGAAGCATATGTGTGTGTTTTGGGATCCTGAACTGGAAGGGGGCGCGTGGTCAACACGTGGCTGCACTACAGTGAGATCCAGTGCCGATCAGACCGTCTGCTCCTGTTCTAAGCTCGGCAGTTTTGCTGTGATGACGGTTCTCTGTGACACTGGGGTCTGTAGGCCTACTCTTAACTTTTGTCAGCAAGGCAGTAAATCTTAAGCTCATCATAGAAGTGAAAATTCTAAGCCAAAAGTAGGGGGGGGGGAGTAAATGAACAGTGCTATTTTCCACCCTCAATGGCTGAGGTGCCCTTGAGCAAGACAACTAACCCCCAATTTTAAATGGCTGCAGAACCCCTGCTGTGTGTGAATGGGATAAATGCAGAAGACAAATTCAGAGTATTGAAGGATATAAGGATCTTCAAATTCAAACTGTGTGTGTTTGTTCATTTCAAGGCTTTTATTATCACAGTTGTTGTGAAATAATTTTCCATTGCTATTGCTTGTTGTATAATAACACTTGTCGGATTTGTGTTTCTCATTTGAAGCCTGAGCATTGAAACGTATGCAACTAAAATTATTCAATAAACTTTACTCCTTTTTATCATCATTACTTTGTCTCCTGCTTCTGCTCTTCACTGGATTTACAGTCAACTTCTGGGCTGACAGAAGACTGTTGATACAGTTTTAGGTACCAGACAAGACTTGCCGACTAGTTGTTCTGTTACCAGACAAAACAGGTATTTTTCTGATAGGATCTGGTGTCTGGGGCTGGATCTATTTCTGGCATGGAGGCATGATCTAACATTACATAAAGAGTAGCAGCAGTGGGATTTGACTGATTCATATCATAGAAAACAGAAAACGTGCTTGTAACTTTCTGCCAGAGCATCATCTGTTAAGTTTGCAGACACTTCCTTTAACCATAAAACACCATTTTTACACAGAATTTTCTTAGAGCTCAGTGATATGAAGGTCGTCAATGGCAGTATGTTTTGCAGCAGCGATACATTGTGCCATCCTCACTACCCAATGTAGCGCTCCCCTGTCAGATGCTGAGCGATTTCCATAGAAGATGGTGATACCGCTGGTTAATACACTCTAACATATAACTCATCTGTAGAAACCAGTGAGGATGGAGGGGTAAATGCCATCCTCAGCTTCCTTAGAAAATACAGGAGCTGTTGGGTGTTCAGAGAGATGTGTGGGCCCAGGAATTAGAAATTCTGTGTTGTCTCAATTTCTGTGCCCTTGGTGGATGATGGTTAATGTGGGGCCTTGGTGCATCTGAAGTCAACAGTCATCTGTTTTGTCTTGTTCACATTCAGTTGATGTTCTTTCTCATAATTGTTATTGATGAATCCCATAACCACGTCGTTGTCACCTGCAAACATTACGATGTTATCGCTTTGGTGTTTTGCTATTGGCTGTTCGCTGAAAGCTTACTTGGTTTTTATGTGCACACACAATAAGTCTATCAATATTTATTTTTAATCAGTTACAAAAACGTAGACTGGTCTAATCTGAATAGAAAAGTAAGACTTGTCACCCCTTGACTAACTGCTAGTTGGCCAAACTAGTTCTGTGGCTAAGAGTTTGGGTTCCTTGCCACTTAATATTTGGCAAAACTATCAACTTGACTGCACAGACACTATTGGATGAGAAGTGAACTGATTTGGATGATGACATCACTGAATCAACAATGAACTGACTTTAACCGAAAAACTGACTGTTTACTTTTGTCCTCTTTTTAGATCAACACGGAAGTGAGCCGTTTTCTGTGAATGTGCGAGACTTCCAGTTCATTAGCCTCTGCAGGGAAATAATGAGAAGAATAACAAAGAATAATCAAAATAATATGGTAATATGAAGCAGCAAAACAAGCTGTTCAGTACAGCTAAAAATAGCTGGAAGCGGATGACACCGGAAGCCAAACACATTCAATTTACAAATGCTCTTACGGCAAAAATAAGGTGGATAGCAGAATTGAATTTTGTTTACATTATTGAAACACTGTAAAGCTGCTTTGACACAATCTGTATTGCATACAGCACTACAGCATATAAATAAAGGTGATTTGACTTGACTTAATTCAGGGTTAAAAGCTGGGTTGATAGAAAAAGTTGATAACAAGCGTCATGAAACCTGTTGACCCCAATTAACCTGAAATGAACTTGTTTGTGTTGTCAATTCTAACCCTACTCTGAAAGTCAGCATTTGTTGAACTAGCTTTATGCAACAGGCCACAGAAGAAATACAGATCCAAACATGAAGAAAATCAACGAGGAAGGTCAAGGCAAACTAGAAACAGGTGGTGATGATAATGATGATGATGATGGTAAGCAACCAGGAAACAAATTAACAGGAAGAAGCACAGGAAATGTAAATACAGATGACATTAAACATAATACAAACTCTCCTTCCATAACTTTTGCGTCTGAAAGCGAAACTCCTACAAATGGATATTCAATAAGATCAGGCGCAAAAATTACTGTGTCCACGCCTTTTCAGCGCTAATTCTTCACTGCGCGTCTTTAGTAAAACCTGACAGTACAATTTTAACGCCAAAAGACGGTTTGCGATGGCTCAAGCTGTAAGTAAATCTGACCCCATAATGCTTGTAATTTAATTTGAGTATAAAAATACATTTGGTTTACTTAAATATTACTTAATCATGTGAGAGGCGGCAATGCCTCCTTGTGATTGGCAATTCACCTGGCTTTTCACCCGGCAATTCACCCGGCAATTCACCTGGATCGAAAATACAGAAATTTTTTGTGTGTACAATCTACAAATCCCCCACAATGCAGAAAAAAATTGCACAGCAGTGAAGGGGTGAAGCTCTAAAACATCTAGAGTGCAAAATCAACACACCAACTCACACACGCGCGGACAGTGTTACAGGCACACTATGAACTGGTGTGCCTGTAACACTGCTACTATGTAAAATAAAATCAATAATTCAACTACAATGCAGTAAAAAAGTGGACAGCAAGGAAGGGGTTACACTCTAAAACATCAAGAGTGTAAAACACATACATTCACTCACACACACTTATTTACACACACACACTCACAGACACACACATACAGAATTATACATACTCAAATGAATTAGTATGGCTATAACCATATAGCCAAAATGAGACAGAAGACTGAAATAAGAGGTTAAAATCAGATCAGACCCAGAAGGATTAAGCTCTGATAAAGCATTCCTGTTCAGTTTTGTTACATTTTTATAGAATTTTAATGTTTTGTGTAACAAAATGCTTTCTGTGTTCAGGTTTGGATGTAGTAATAATAATGCAAAAACCTACACTTCAAATCAACATTTAAAACAACAAAAAATATAAACCTTGACAAAAATTGGATTTTAAAGGCCTAGTCTCTATTTTAATCTGAAATACTGCATTACTTGAGAAATAATTTTAAAAAATTCGGGGGGAAAAAATGTGTACTATTTTCAACGGGAAAAATTTATCATAATTATTGCACAAATATTAATTAGTACCATAAAATTATCTCAAAATACAAAAGAAAAAATATTATTGAACAAAAATATATTAGATTGATTTTACTGGGAAAAAAAGTTACATTTCAGGTTACATTTCACTTTTGACCGCGAAGACCATGAGTGTGACTTCCAAATGAGGAGCGCACAAAGCCCCTTCCATCTACGAAGAAGCTGAGAAGCATATATAATAGTTACTGCATATATAAATTTATAAATATATAAGTCATATATTACCTACTTATTTCATTGTCAATTCTGTTTTAAATCAGTGTACCTTGTCTGTACTTTTGTCTGTATTTATTGTCCATATTTACTGTTTTCTATTAGTCCTCATGCTTGTCTGCTACATGTGTCATTGTTGTTTCCTGAAGGACTTGTTTCATTTTTATCCATTGCCATGTAATCTGCTAAAATTGACAAAGTTGTCTTTAATTCCCACGAAATACAATGAATGGTTAAGTTGATAGTTGAGCAATATACTAAGCAAAGCTCAGTTTACACTGCAAGTGCGTCTTTGCAACAAACCCCCTTCAGTTAAGCAAACTGAAAGACTTTACTACAGATGTACAGTATTTACATAATCACATTTGAAACAAAAGTGCAAAGTTCAAAATATGTCTAAATCTATATCAGGGATGTGTGTGTGTGCACAGGTGTATGCAGCCTCATTTGCCATTTATACTTTTGACAAATAACAAATGCTGTCAAAAATGCAAAATATTTAAAAAAGTATAAAAACCCTTTGGTTAAACTCTAGAGAAAAAGGAACTAGATTATTATTAGATAGTGTCCAAAAGTTGCTATTTTTTGGGGTGTGTTATGAAATATGGGAAATTCATGTGATAACAGGTTAGGCAACAGATTCTGTGAGATATTAGTTGATAATTGAAAAAAGTGTAGAAATACTTATGCAACAATATATAATCTTTTGTAAAAACCACCTATAAAGCCAGACCCCCATATCATTCCTCTTTTTGGAAATGGCAAAGACTGATTCTTGTTTCTTGTTATTAGGAGCTGAATTTATAGTGTGGCGCAGTGGTTTTCAAACCTTTTTAAGAGCGACCCTTTTTTTCCTTTTTAAATTGACAAGACCAATATTATTCAACCATGCACCATTTGAAAATGTATATACAATTAAGTCACGTATACGTACATTCTGCATAATCTGGTCCTAAGCTGGTTCGTAAGACGACAGGGCAACACACATGTCCGGAGAAGCATTCCACTGATTTATTTCGTCTATATTTTAGTTAAAATTGAGAATCCAGTTTCGCACATATAGGTAGATATAAAAGGTAGTATCAATGAAATGCTTGTTTTGCACAATGTATATTAGCTATATATAGTATAGCAGGTAATATTAATCTCTGTGCAACTGTATGTGCCGTTTTTCTTTGGCAACATGATATGGCACTTTATTATATGCCAAGTGTAATTTGTGATTGATATGCTCCTGCTGAGTACCTGAGCTGATGACTGAATTTCTTGAGCCTTCCTCTGAAAAACAAAGTTCAGCAAAATCGGCATGATGTGTACTTAGTGCTGGCCGATATGGCCAAAAAACATGATCACGATAAAAGTTTTCATATCAGTCGATATCGAGAATTATCACTAATCTTTATTACCTGAATTTAATATGGTGAAATGTAATTATTCTGTTTGCGTTTGATTAAAATTACAAGAAAATTCAAATTCTAAAATTATATGTGTACTTAAATGTCTTTCCAACTTTCATTTGCCAACTTTTCAATGCATATTACGCACATTATGGCAGTATGGCCTGCATCCGAACAGTTGATGAACCCAAACTTCAAAAAATCATCTTTATATGATTTTTCATAAGCAGCATGGGTATATTTGTAGCAATAGCCAATAATAGATTGTACTGTATGGGTTAAAATGATTGATTTTTCTTTTATTTAAAAAATAATTAGGATATTAAGTAAAGATCATGTTCCATGAAGATATTTTGTAAATTTCCTACCATAAATATATCAAAACTTAATTTTTTATTAGTAATATGCATTATTAAGAACTTCATTTGGACAA